TATAGCATCATTGTTTTTTTCAGCCAACCAAGCAGAAACATTGTGGCTATTACAAGAACATTTCCCAATGGCCATATAACACCATGTGACAAACCACCACTAAAGATAGTTTGCTACATAAAAATGCATAAAGCTAGAATGGGATCTTGGTATGGCCCTATTGCCAATGTACCTTGAATCCCAAGTGCCACTCTTATTCTAGTACAGGGGACCAAAAGAGTTTTATTAATGTACTTCAGTCATGACCTGGTAATTCCAGTCCTGGCCTCTAAAGAGATCACCAGTCTTTGCAAATCATGTGGTAGCTCGGCAATGCATAAAAACAGAGAGACCAGATAGGAATGCCAACATTTTTCACGCCCGCATTTTAAAAAAATTTCATAAGTCACAGTGTCTTATCAGGAAATAAACAGATGTAAATTTCCTATGGTAATGCTAACACTAACTGTTACTGTTCAGAGCTCTCAGTAAATTCGCATTGTGAAGTTGTCAGCTTCAAACTAATGAGGCTTTCAATAAGTAAAGGAAGTAAGTTCACATTGATTGGAGAATGAAAAGCTTTTCAAATTCTGATATATGTCATTAAACAGGCTGAAGACATAGAATCATAGAACCATAGGGTTCGAAGGGACCACAAGGGTCATCTTGTCTAACCCCCTGCTAAAATGCAGGTACAGGGGGGGGGGAAGGTATAAAGGAGACATGTGTGTAATACAAAGTAACAATTCTGGACACATACCAGCTTCAGTGGGGATTGAGAGAGTTCTCAAGCTAAACCAAGATGGGTCAGTACTTTCCTTAGAGACCTTCAAGGAAAAACTCAGAGTACTGCAATTAGCAGTGCTGGCAATTCAACAGGTAGCGCTAGGGTTGCCATCCCTCCAGGATTGTCCTGGAGTCCCCAGGAATTAAAGATTAAATCTTTAATTAAAGACAGCCATGTAATAAAACGCCAAGAATACCTCCAACCAGAACTGGCAACCCTAGGTAATACTCTTCCAGTGACTCAATGTACCAGTGCCCCAGTATGGTTATGATATTACTGCGGTGCTAGAAGTACTCAGGTGCAAGCCACCTAATCATCAAAGGTTCTGTGATGCTTTTTACCCATGTTAGAGTATTGGCTCCACTGTAGTGGCCTCGTGCATGATTGGATAATCATAGTCTGCCTTAGACTCCTGATACTGTTTCACGTGTCCAGAATTGTTACACATTGTACTGTGCTTGGCTAAAACAGCTGTGTTCAACCCCAGGGCTGGCTGCATTTTGAAAGGAATTCTGTTTGTAAAGTGCTACGTGTTAGGCTATTAATTTTTCCATGAGCAAACTGAGTGTGAAACTGCTTTCCTGAACTTAGTGACAGAGCCTCTAGTGGACTGATGTCTCAAACTGAAAATATTAAGACAGG